CCACAACTACATAATGGACAGAGAAAGAAGAGACCCTCTGTAGTTTCTCAAGCTGTAAAGGAAACGGCGGGCAATTTGTACTTTTAGCCTTTCAAGAGGTTCATTCACCTTTTCAATAAAGTAGGATTAGGTCATCTGGGTATATTTCCTGTCTGGTCCGCTTGGTTAAGTTGACAAGACATCAGCAATTATTTAAGCAATTCACATAATTGTTAAAAAAATGAATGTGGCTGGGTGAGGTTGAGAATTGGGGAATACCACAAGGAGAAAAGCTGGAGAGAGCAGACAAAAGAGCTTGCTACTGAATGTGTAGCCTAGAATTCATTTGAACTTGACAAAATTCAAGTTCTCGTGAACTTGACAAAATTTTACAATTGTGTATTCACCATCACCCTTCCTTGGGGATACCATAATTTCTTCTTTTTCTCCATTTTGAAGATCTTCAACAACTTGTTCTTATGCTTCTCAAGAGCTAGATTTCCAGAATAGGGGAGTAGGCTCAATGGGATTGGTTAAATTGTAACTCAGGGCTGTGTGAATCCAAAAAATGTAGAATCCATTTCCCACATTTTATAGTTATATGTCAGTTTTGATCGTCTAGTAGTGTTTTCTGAATAACAAACCATAGAGGGCAGTATTTGCAAGAATTTGAAAAATTCTTTGCTTATGGTAAGCTTGGCCATTAGAGGGAAGACTTTTTATTCCTTTGCCATAACTGACATAATGCCAGCACTGTTTTCTCCCCCTAGGTGCAGTTGCAAATTGTGGCCACCAGAAGGCAGATTCTTCATTCCTTGCTATTGTTTCTTCAAGTGCAATAGAAAATTAGGTCCCCTAGAGGGCAAAGTACTTTAAGCTTTCAGAATAGTCCCTCTTTTCTTCCTCTGAGAACAGTTGCAAATTGTGGCCACCAGAAGGCAAACTCTTCACTCCTTACTATTGTTTCATTTCTCCAAGTGCAATAGCAAAGTAGGTCCACCAGATGACAATATACTTCAATCTTTTGGAATACAGTAGTATTTTTCCCCCTTCCGCTGGGTGTAGTTTCAAAGTTTGGCCGCCAGAGGGAAGAATATTTTCATAATATAATTCCCTGCATGTTTTCTTTCTCCAGGTGGTAGGGCAGTATGTGGCCACTAGGGGACAGACTCTTAATTCTTTGGAATAGTTCTAAATTGTTTCCTTCTGGGAGCATTGGCAAAATATGGCCACTGGGGGGCAGAAATTTCAGTTCTCTTTTTATGTGGTTGCAACTGTACTGTACCCAGAGAAAGAGAGAATATTGCTAATAATGTTATTTAATCTCTTCCGCCCCCTTGCAGAACTTTCTCTAAAATAATTAACAATCCCCCCCAAATAAAAAATGTAGTTTTAAAATGTAACTTTGTTATTTTAGTTGTTCAGATGATTTTATTTATAGTCACTGTTTTTATATGGTTTTCCAAAAACAAACACATGGGTAGATGGAGGAATTCCTTCCAAGTTTTTCACAATCTCCTAATCTGGCATCAATTGCAAATTTGGTCTGTAATTTGAGTCGTTTGATTGCCCACAAGTGGAGAAATTAGTTCACTACTCAATTTCTCAATTTGGTTCACTTCCTCAGTTTCACCACTTGGGGGCAGTCAAAGTTAATTCCACCCCCATACCCTTAAGCTACAGGTAATCAAGCCAAAACAGATCTTGGTCTGTCTCTCATTTCTATGGTATGCTATTAAAAGAACTGGAATAGTATGGGAATTGTGGAAAGTCAAACAAACCCATCCTTGCTCATAAATTACTGATCAAGTTTTGTGGAAATTTCTGCTTCCATGTATTTTAGGCAATTTATGTGAGTGACAAATTTGCTCTGTTGGTATCAGTAAGGCAAAGAAACAGGAAGTATGGAGTGCTATCTCTTGTTTGTAGTTCTGAGATGTACACCCTGAAGATTATACTGCCTAAATTTGGCGACAATTTATTTTTCAATTAAGTGCCCCATTTTTTCAGATTCCTTCCTTTCCAAGGAAAGGGTGTCCCACCCGTTTCTTTCTTTAGTTCTATCCACCTTGAACTCTGGTGCTGGAGAAGACTCCTGTGAGTCCCTTGGACTGCAAGGCCATCCAACCAGTCAGTCCTAGAGGAGATCAACCTGGACTGCTCTTGGCCAGATCCTGAAGAGGAAACTCAAAGATTTTGGCCACCTAATGAGAAAGAAGGACTCACTGGAGAAGAGCCTAATGCTGGGAATGATGGAGGGCAAAAGAAGAAGGGGACGGCAGAGAATGAGGTGGCTGGATGGAGTCACTGAGGCAGTTGGCCTGAGCTTAAATGGACTCCAGAGGATGGTAGAGGACAGGAAAGCCTGGAGGAACATTCATGGGGTCGCGATGGGTCAGACACGACTTCACAACTAACAACAATCCACCTTGTGGCCTCTGAGTCTGAGAAGGTAGAGAAGAGGGCACATCGGATGGTAACACAAAATGAGCATAGACATGCATGGATAAATGAGGCAATGTATATTTGGACAGTTCCTATAGTACAGGGGTCTCCAAACTTGACAACTACATGCTGTAGCAGGGGTTTCCAAAGTTGGCAACTTTAAGTCTTGTGGACTTCAACTCTCTGAATTCCTCAGCCAGCCATGCTGGTTGAGGAATTCTGGGGGTTGAAGTCCACAAGACTTAAAGTTGCCAACTTTGGAAACTCTTGCTATAGCATGTCAACTCAAAGCACCCCAACGTGTCCAAAACAATTGTTGTGGATGGAATGAATTAGCCGATGCTGATCATTGTTCCTATTCTCATTTTTATAGTGTTCTCCAAATGAGAAGAAAGGAGTCAAAGAGGATATTTCTGAATGCTGAATTCACTTCCGTTTTTTGAGATTCCTTTCGACCTGCTGATGGAATTGAACTAGGAACGGTGCTCGTAATTCTTTGGACATTAGAAAAACTGGATCAGCGTGAATTCTGATAAGACGCTGATGGTTATGCGCTGAACTTGTTGGACAGGAATTTGCTTCTCCCTCTTTTGCAATTTTCAAACTGTGAATTAGCCCCTCAGGCATTTTTCTTGAAAAATAAATACATGTGTTTGAAGTGGTTCTTGTTTTAAATTTTTCAGATCCCTGCTGAAGCAGGATGGTGCTTGTGGATGAAACAAACTCAAGAGAAGTTGACCTTACCTAAGAGAAGATGAATGTCCTCATCCACTATGGGAGAGAACAATGTGCTTAATTAGACTGATAAAATAAATTGACTAGACTTATACAAGAAGGAATTGCCACTGACCATGAGCAAGAACAGTTCTTAAAAAAAAAAAGATATAACCCATATATTTCTCATGAAAAGAAGAAGATGGAGAAAGTATGAGATGAACAATGACATGCCCTTTTCCATTTTCAGAAGAATCTGTCTTCTCATATTATAGAAATAGTTCCCTGCACCTTTAGTATGACTTTCACATTTTCTGGAGAAGGTCCAGAGCCTAGAGAACTTTCCCAGTGTCTCTGAGCCACCTCAAAGAACATAGGAACCTGTTCTTCTCTTCCAAGTCATTTCAAGAGCTTTAGGCGAAAGATGGAAGACTCGACGGGAGAGGGAACTGTGAAGCAACTGATAGTAGAAGCTGGTTTTTCTTTAAGAAAACAGGATTATGAACTTTCTTTTGATGCAGCTTCCATTTCTGCTATTTGAATTGTTTTTAAGGTCAGATGAAGGTCCACCAGGAATGGTGAGGAATGAAGCCTTGGAGAACTATAGGATTTTTAGGCGGGCAACAGCTCTGTTGGATCAGCAGTTATCAACTCCCAACGCAGCTAATCAGTGTGGAATGTAATTGACTCTTCAAATCACGGGCACCAGGTGTATGGAAATGCCACCTGCTTGAGCAGAACATTTAGGACAAAAATGGAAGTAAATATATGCAGCTTTAATGAAGCATGGTTGGTAAGGAGGCATGGTGGAAGCACGTTGTTACACCAGATCATTAGGAGGTACAGTGCACATATTTTTGAAAGAGAGGAAATTCCATTCTCTGAAGGCTACTATTAAATGCTCTTTATAACTTATTACTTACCATATAAATGGCCTTAAATGGTAGTTCCACGGAATCTCCTCTGTATGAACATGCAACAATGATAACAGGGTTGAGATGTTACAGACTCCACTGCATTTTTTTGAAGCAGGACAATTAGACGTTCAGATGATCTTCTGAATATTGGTGGCAATGTAAGGATTAAGGATGCCCCCTTCCCCCCCCTAGGAACGAATAGGGATGCAGTGACTCAGTGGCTAAGATGCTGAGCTTGTCGATCAAAAGGTCGGCAGTTCAGCGGTTCGAATCCCTAGTGCCGCGTAATGGGGTGAGCTCCTTTGACTTGTCCCAGCTTCTGCCAACCTAGCAGTTCGAAAGCAGGTAAAAAATGCAAGTAGAAAAATAGGGACCACCTTTGGTGGGAAGGGAACAGCGTTCTGTGTGCCTTTGGTGTTTAGTCATGCCAGCCACATGATCACGGAGACGTCTTTGGACAGCACTGGCTCTTCGGCTTAGAAACGGAAATGAGCACCGCCCCCTAGAGTCAGGAACTACCAGCACATATGTGCGTGGGGAACCTTTACCTTTACCTCCCCCCACCCCATTAAAATCTTCAACAGCTTTGATTCCCTCTTGTGCCTTGAAGTGATTCTGGAGAGAGTTGTTTAGTTTTAGTTTTAGTTTTATTAAATTTATATACCGCCCTGGCCAAACCTTCAAACCCACTTTATAGAGATGCCTACGATGTATTGGTGGTGCACCTCTACCTGGGTGAGAAAATGCAGAGTGAGCAAGCACTGGGTGTGAGCAGTGCAAACACAAGAAGGGGTCTATGTTGTTTTGAGTCAGGTTGGAGATGTGTGGTTGAATTTGCTCCAAAAATATCTGGTTGCAATGAAAATGGATATTTCATAGATTATTAGAATATTAGTTCTCCCCCCTCCCCCCAAGCAATTAAATAACAGGAGAAAAGAAGTCTGGAACTTTTTAGAAGTTTTATTTCAGTTTATTACTGGAAGGTTTTGCATTTTGAGAATGAGAATAGTTTTAAAAAACATTTTGCATAAAATAAACATGTTAGCTTTATTTCAAAAGACTACAAATATTAGTTACAACCCCTAAAAGTTTTTTTTTTAACAAACCGAGGATCATTTAGGAGATTAATTCATTTCCTCCAATTTATCACATCCTTCTGATAGAAATTCCAACCCTGTTTGGTGTAATCTTATCTAGGTTTGTTTGTGGCTCAGTGGCTAAGGCGCTGAGCTTGTCGATCGGAAAGGTTGTCGGTTTGAATCCCTCGTATAGGTCTCCTGCCCGAGCAGGGCTGTTGAACTAGATGACCTCCAAGATCCCTTCCAACTCTGTTACTGTTACTACCTTGGAGTAAGTCTTCTATGGAGCTGAATGGGAGGATCCTTAGTACCATGAGTTTACTCAGAAGCTTTGTTGGGACAATGGGATAGTAGCAATAGATTTGAAGAACCAACTTTCAGATCCTCTAAGTATCAAATTTTATCAGTTATCAATTAGCCACATGTGTCATGGCAAATTGATCGTCACCACTTCTTCTGAAGATTGTGAGGAAATAGTGGTTCTCCAGACACAATGAATTCAGAGGTCTTCTACTACCTGATGCTCGCAACATTTTCTCATCAGTAAGAAGTCCTCAATATAGACCCACCTCATTGTTTTATATATAATACCATGTAGAGTCTCAGTGGTCCTGAGATCATCCTCTGGAAAAGTTTTTGAGGACATCAATAAAACACAGAGGGTGAGAAGCTGTCCTAGATCTGCTAATGGAAACTTCTCCATCAAACATTCTATTTATCCAATTCTACCACCACTTTATTCCCTGAAAATAATTGTGAATGTCTGATGGACCTCACTCCCACCAACGTGGAAGAAGACATCATGGTGGGATCACATGAGAGTACCCCCAAGGTGGGGTAGTGATGCAAGAACCAACCATTCCTGCCCATAGGAGAATGGGCCATCAACTTCTGCAGGGATTCAAAAAAAAAACCCAGACATTTTAGATTGACTCAGGCCTTGGACTGATACAGAAGTTATTTTGAAGTGCTATAAAGTGCTATCTTTGAGGCAAGATATGCAGATGGCTTACATTTGGACAAATTCATGGAAACTACATTTGCTAGAAAACATCTCAGCAACTGGTAGCAACAGGATCCTGGAGCAATCCATTGATCCAGAGATGAGAGATAAGTGGCCACCAAAAGCTGTTAAACTACAATAGTCAGCATTCCTCATTGACCATTTATTTTATTTTATTTTTTATTTTTATTTTATTTTAAATTTATATACCACCCTTCTCCCTGAGGACTCAGGGCGGTGTACAGCCAGAATTAAAAAACATGAAATACAAATACATGAAATACATAAATATAGGAGTTTTCTATTTCGCCTCTGTCATCACACTAGGAAAATTCTGAGAAAAGTTATATTACAAACAAAATGGCAGTCAGAAGTCATTTTAAGTCTTACTTCTCCATTGCTTTTTTGGTACATCATATTCCCATGGAACCACCAGATACTAAAAGGACAATCAATGTCACTTTGGAATCTATGGAGTCAAAAATCTTGATCACCTGGGTTTTAAACCTAAATGGGGCCCAAAAACAGAAAAAAAAAAACAACAGTCTACAACACTGAAAGAGCAACTTCGATAAATGCCCCATCTGATCCATAGGTACGGTGGATGGTGGGTGCATGACACAGCACTCTCACTTTTTATATATACAAATATTTATAAAAATACCAGCTGTCTTTACAATTTCATAATCCACTGAAAGTTTAGTAAAATGATTGGGAATTCACGGAGTATAAAGTGTTACGGAATTTTGCCAGTCGGGATTGTTGTGCTAATGCAATGCTTCGGGGTGTCATTGACCGGCTGTACATCTCAGCCCAGGGTCGAGGAGGACGTCGGACATCAGGGAGACGGCGTTTCGTGCTGGTAGTAGCCGCAAGGGCAGTTGAGGGCATCTTGTCATCACACAGGGCCTTGGTCTCACTACCAGTGATGGCCTCGGGTCCTGGAGGACATGGATTGAGAGTTTCTATCTTACACGCTTCTGGAAAAACTTGCAGGATAGGTCCTGGAAGCTCGACTTCAATAGGAGGGGGCTGGATAGTAATTTTCATCTCTGGTCCCTGGGAAATGCAGTTTGAAGTGTCCATCAGTCCACATACTGTGGTGCAACTCTTGGCCCGTGGAATTAGAGCTTTGATTTCATCATCGTCACCGCTGGTGATGGCCTTTTGATCACTGCCAGTGAGGGCGTTGTTACCATTGCAGGAGTTGTAGACTTCCACGGTACACTCTTCTGCAGCTATCTCCAGGACAGGACCAGGAATGGTGACCTCGATTGGTGGAGGGTATATCACCACTTTGTTTGAAGGCCCTTGTGTTAGGCATTGGACTGAGCTGTTGAGTCCTGATGGAACGGAGGCTGAGCGAGTTAGACGTTGTGGAGTGAGGGAGCAATCGGAGACCGATGTTGAACGGGGCAATGCAGGGCGTTGGACACCACTGGTGATACAGTTGGTTGAGCTTGAGATGATGCACTCATTGGGGTGGCTGGTGAGAACTGCACCCGGGATGGTGATGCAGACTGGGGGAGGCTGAATCACCACTTGAGAATCAGGACAAGTGGTTGTACAACAAGGAGTATCTCCACCAGAAAGAGCAACCAAGCCTGAGGTTTTGGTGACGATGGCCTTGGACCCTGCCGCACAGCCCACCTCACAGCCGTTAGTGAGGCATGAAGTCTGGCTTTCCATAAGGCATTGTTTTGGAGAGGTCTTGAGTCTCAATCCAGGTAAGGTCAGGACCAGTGGGGGTGGATGGATCACTACTTTGGCATCTGGACAGGAGGTGACGCAAGGGTTGGTGACACACTTCACGCCTGAGCCAGACATTCTGCTGGGAGGATGAATCTGGAGAGGAGACAGAAGGGAGACAAGCAAAATGATCTGGGTGTCCAGCAGTCACACATGGTGACAGATGGACAGGCCAACCTTGCCTTCTCTCTGAAAACACTTTGTAAAAGATCAACCACCGTTACTCCCTAGTTAATCTAGTAGAACTGGTTGAAAATATCATTTGTACTTACTTAGGAAAGAGATTCTTATGCCAACTGCCCTTCCTTCCTTCCTTCCTTCCTTCCTTCCTTCCTTCCTTCCTTCCTTCCTTCCTTCCTTCCTTCCTTCCTTCCTTCCTCTCTCTCCTTTCCCCCTCTCTTCCTATATAACTCAGGTCACGAACGTCCTCAAAACCTCAAAATATTTGACAGATATCCTACGTCTAGCTTCCCTTCTTGTTTCATCACCTATTTTTCTGCCCACACCTTCAATCCACTCTCGTTCTGCTCCTTTTAGCTGTCTGAGAATCCAGCTTGACAGGGGCCACAATTGTAGCAAAACAGTAAAAAGGCTCTTACTTCTCACTTTAAGAAAACTCACCTTAGACAGCTGTTGTGTGAACAGCTATTTCCCAAGCTTTATAGCTGGCAAGAGAATGTGGACACGCCCTGTTTTTTTCCCAACTTCCCTCCCCCAGCCTTACCGCTTCACCGATCCAGTTTCAAGAAGCCGAAGAGGCTCCAGATTTGCTCAGAGATAAGAGATCAGCAGAAAACTAAACAGGTTAGGAAGGAAAATTCAATGTACGGTAAGGGTGGGTGATCTCAGAACAAGGAAATCAATCATCTCAGCCAAGGGATGAGCAACAGGTCTTTCCAAATTCAAGTTTCTTTGCGGAGCGAGCTACAGTCAAATAAATATTTTTTTCCAATGTTGCTCATAACTGGAATGGAAGCACCGTTTCCTTCCTCACAAATTGGGTAATATATTCTGAATTGTTGAACCAAAGAGAGTGTGGAAGACACTTGCAGATATAAATGTCTAGTGTTATGGAGGAAATTAAGGGGGGGGATCTTTTTGAGGGGAGAGAAATTTGTCGGATCTGGCAATGTTCCCATCTTAGATGGGAGAATGCCTTTTCCAAAATGGTCTCAAGAAGAGGCATGTTCTGTAGTATGCTAGAGAAGATGGCATGAATCTTCTAAGAAAGATGTTCCTGGACCCGGTACTTTAAACAAGAGATTTAAAGTTCTTGTGTTAAAATAATTCCATCCATCCATCCATCCATCCATCCATCCATCCATCCATCCATCCATCCATCTAATTTCTGGATAACTTCATTTGAGTTTGCTTTTACTGTGTTTCCCCAAAAATAAGACATCCCCTGATAATAAGCTCAATTGGCCTTTTGAGCTCATGCGCTAAAACAAACCCTCCCCGAAAATAAGCCCTCCCCGAAAATATTTAAACGCATGCACAGCCAGTCCCTGCCATTTCCCTGGCCTCGCCTAAATCTTCTCCCTTTTAAGTGTAAATTTAAATTTTTTAATGTATTTTAAAATTATGGGTATTTTAAATTATGGGTATTAATTCAGCCAAATTTATTTAATTCATTTTATTCGATTTTAAATTTTGTATATCTATGTGTTTTATTTCATGGCTGTGGACCGCCCTGAGTCCTTCGGGAGTAGGGCGGTATAGAAATTCAATAAAATAAAATAAATAAAAAAATAATAAATTTCTTTTGGTTAGGGTTAGGGAGACAGAGCTGGAAATCAAGTAAGAAGGCAAGAGGAGCCCCATCTTGCTCCCCGCGCCCCAAAATAATAAGACCTCCCTGAAAATAAGGCCAAGCGCTTATTTTGGGGTTCAAAAAATATAAGATAGGGTCTTATTTTTGGAGAAACACAGTATTCTTAGAATAGAATAGAATTTTTTTTTTAATTGGCCAAGTGTGATTGGAGATACAAGGAATTTGTCTGCATATGCTCTCAGTCATCTCTCATCTAAAAGAAAAGATACGTTCATGAAGAATCATAAAGTACACCACTTAATGATAGTCATAGGGTACAAATAAGCAATCAGGAAACAATATCAATATAAATCTTAAGGATACAAGCAACAAAGTTACAGTTATACAGTCATAAGTGGAAGGATACGGGTGATGGGAACGATAAGAAGGTTAATAATAGTGTAGACTTAGTAAATAATTTGACAGTGTTGAGGGAATTATTTGTTTAGCAGAGTGATGGTTCAGGAAAAAACTGTTCTTGTGGTTCTGGTGTGCAGTGCTCTATAGCGTCGTTTTGAGGGTAGGAGTTGAAATAGTTTATGCCCAGGATGCGAGAGGTCTGTAAATATTTTCACAGTCCTCTTTTTGACTCCTGCAGTATACAGGTCCTCAACGGAAGGCAGGTTGGTAGCCATTGTTTTTTCAGCCATTCTGATTATCCTCTGAAGTCTGTGTCTGTCTTGTTGGGTTGCTGAACCATACCTCCCCCCTTCATTTTTCTCCTTTCTCAAGTTCAACATTTGCATTTTGGCAAATAATGTCTAAACTACTAGGTTTTTAGCACTTAATAGGGCCGATAAAGTTCAGAAAGACAAAACAAAAACAAACAAACAAAAAAAAAAAACCCAGAGAGAGAGTCTGTGACTGAACGTTAATTTTGGTTGGAATCTATCTGAAGGACGTTTCTATCTAAGGAGTCATGAGAAAGAATCCAAGTCAAAATCTCACTCTTGGCCCTATGGCTCGAGATACCTGATAGATTTGAAGATGCATCAAACAGTGCTTATAGCCTTACAGCCCATTCATAAAATAGCTCTACTTTCTCTATCAGGTGACCTTGCTGAGATGGGGCTGAAGAAGATGAAGTTCGGAACAAGAGACTCTTCTATCTGGAACTTCTAGAAGTTTAAATAACCAAGGAAGAGCAACTATGAGAAGGCACCAAAGAGGTTAATCTTCCCAAGATGAAGCTGGTGGTCTGTGTGTGATGGATTGATGGGCCCATAGATACGTTCTCATAGAGTTCATATCTTACGAACAATGAACAATCAGGGATAAACCAGAGGGGAACAAGAGTTTGGTCATCAAAAGAAGCTTCTTGTGGTTCTCCAAAGATGGAGGAGAAAACTAGCATGAGGAAGAACCTCATGCTGAGAACTCCTGGGCTCTCCCTTCTTAGTAAGGCTTTCTCAACTACTTGCTGTGTCACCTGTGAGTGCCAACAACAGGTATGACAAAGGCATTCTGCTAACAGGTTTCTCTGAATCATCTCTACTGGAGTGGAAGGTGGCAATTCCCAACAAAGATGCCCATCTATAAGCCAGAAAAAGTTTTCACAGATACAATCTTTGTGTAAAGAGTCTACTCTGGGGAAAATTAATACAACAAAGGACAATTTCTAGTAAATTTGAAACCAACCCTTGCTCCCTAATATTTTGTGTGGAATAAGGTAAAGGTTCCCCTCACACATATGTGCTAGTTGTTCCTGACTCTAGGTGGCGGTACTCATCTCCGTTTCAAAGCCGAAGAGCCAGCGTTGTCCGAAGACGTCTCCATGGTCATGTGGCCAGCATGACTCAATGCCAAAGGTGCATGGAGCATTGTTACCTTCCCATCAATGGTGGTCCCTATTTTTCTACTTGCATTTTTTACCTGCTTTTGAACTGCTAGGTTGGCAGAAGCTGGGACAAGTCACGGGAGCTCACCCCGTTATGCGGCAGTAGGGATTCAAACTGCTGGACTGCCGACCTTTTGATCGACAAGCTCAGCGTCTTAGCCACTAAGCCATCATGTCCCTATGTGTGTGGAATAGATACATCTAAAAAAGGTTCCATGCAAAAGTTCAAACATGTTAGGGAAAGTTAGGAATCAAAATGATTGCAGATGTATTTTTTTTTCACTTATTAGCTGTTTAGAAAAATCACCTATTTAGCTCGGACTACTTAGGACACCTCCCAATTAATGTGAGGGGGGAAAAAGTTTGAAATTCTTGTGATTTATCAGTCCATACCCCAAATTAAGCATTAAAAAAATAAAAGCTGTTCGGAAAATAGAAATTTTAAGAGACACGGTTCTCTTTTTCCTCTTAAAGATACCACTGACTAATTCTGAGATTATTATTTTAACGAGAGTGAGAGCTTGCTGGTTGACCAAGAGGTGCAGTGAAATTAAATTAAAAAGGGGTGTGGAGGCTGTTGCCAAATTACTTTGGTTGCTAAATGTCAGCATTTAAGGAACTGGTTTTAACAGGTCTGGGAAAGCTTCTCTTTCATGTCTGAAAATAAAGAACTTGTGAGTTGCAGGACGGGACAGATGAAAGAAAGACAGAATCTAGGACAGATTTTTTTCAATTGCCAACTCTGGATTTGAAAGAAAGAGAATGCAGGAAGATTGGAATCTAGGAACCTTAACGGAAACCCGATGATTGCTTTCTTTTTAATTTTTCAATTTTTAGAACTAATTAACCCCCTATACTGCTGGTCTTCATTTGAATTAGATCTATATTTCATAGAACATAAAATAATGAAGTTGGAAGGGTCCTTCGAGGTCTTCTAGTCGAGCCCCCTGCTCAAGCAGGAAACCCTACACCATTCCAGACAAATGGCTGTCCAATCTCTTCTTAAAAACCTCCCAGTGATGGAGCACACACAATTTCTGGAGGCAAGTCTGATTGTTTTATGCTATATGTATTTTTTTATCATCTGAAATTCAGACGCATGAATTTCGATTTCTCTCTCTTTCAAATTCTGTCCTTGCGCTTAGATTTATAGAGAAGAAATTGTTATCTGGCTCCTCAGGCATTTAATTTATTTTAAAGATTTTTTAAAAAATGAAAATTTCTTTGGTAGGGAGGCATAGCATGGAGTTTAGAGTTCTCGAATACCAAACTAATAAATAACTCACTAGGAATCAAGATAAGTCTATCCACAAGTAGCCCTTCTAAAGGATAAGTTGTCTTATATCGAAAAAAGAATTTGGGAGGGAAAGAGGATTATCTCAAAGAACGGATAGGAAAATGAACGGATAGGAAAATGGAGAAAGTGAAAAAAAGGAGCCTTTAAAGATATATAGAATGATTCCCATTTTACTGCTGCGAATCGGAATGATTTACTGCTGCGAATCGGAAGCAGAAGGGGAAAAACAAAGAACATGAGAAATGTCAACAACAGAAAACCGATGTATTTCTGAAAATAAAGAACAAAATTGGGAGGAACGTAGAGAGTATGAATTTGAAAATCTGAGGAGTTCAAAACAATGAAAGAAAGTGGAAGATCGTAAGGAAAAAAGGGGCGAAGAAAACAGGAATGTAAGGAACGTAAACCAGTCTCCCTTACACTATGGGAGAGGGGAATATTAAAAATCAAAATAAAATAAAAATGAGCAAACTGACAAATCAATAAAATTTTTACAAGAGTAAACTGTAGCAGCCAATAAAAACAAGCATCCTTCCTTACGGTAAAATAATCTCCAAAGAAGTCAAAAATGTGAATGTAAGAACATAAAAAACAGACTCCAGTACAATATGGGAGAGGGGACTATTAAAATAGAAATAAAAATAAAATAAAAAAGGAATAAACGGACAAATAAATAAAATTGAACAACTGTAGCGGC